TAAACTGACCATTTTAGAATTTTTTACTGATAATTTCGATACTGATCATTTCAACTATTATACCGATCATTTCCAATTTTTTTACTGATCATTTCAATTATTATACCGACCACTTAAATGGTAGCCATTCTTTAAAATGTTGATCATTCATTATTTCATCATGTAACTTTTCTCTTTGTTCATTACTTTTTGATTCACTTCTTGTTACAATGAAACAAGAATTTTTTGCTATATCAAATCCAAAATGATCAATAAAAGTTTTTATTGATTGAATGTCGTCCTCATTAATACCTGACTCGAATGATACACAAAAACAAATTAAATGTAATTTCTTACTTATTTGTTCTTCCGATAAAAATTTATCAATTAAATTTAAAATATCTTTGTTCTTCAATAATTGTCTATCAAATAGTCCAGGTGTATCAATTATATTTAATTGCATATTATGATCATCAATTTTAATTTGATTTAGTGTGGGGTACTTCGTTTGTGAATATAATGTTAATCCATCTGATATATGTCTTGGATCTTTTAACATATTTTTCATTGTTGTTTTCCCACTTCTTGTTCTACCAAGTAATAATATATTCCTGGTTAATTTTGTATTTTTATTTAATCTTTCTCCTTTAATTCTTTCATTGTTATATGCTTTGTCAATGGTATCCCAAATTTCTTTAATTTTTTTATCTAAATCTTCTGTGAGTTCATTCTTAAACATCTAAAAAAAGAAAAACATATTTTGACATTAAATGAGAGGTTTACAAGTTAGCTGAAATCGATTTCCATGATCAAATTTGAGGCAGACTAGTACCACACAAAATATCAAGTTATCTTATTGTTTACAAGATTCAGAAACGACTCTACTTTCGGCCAGTAATGTTTACTTTCTTAAAATTTCGTTTTTGCCTTCTCAATGGTTGTAGAAATACTTTTACGATTATAGGCTCATCGATATTACACTAAACATAATGCAAGTATAACACCCAGACGTTCATTTTGAATAGACCTGAGATGTGAATCTAAATAACGTATATTGGATCTTTGCCTGATACGTTTGTTGACAACAAGTTGAGAGTAACATTCTAAATGGTGATAGATTTGGAACGTTTCAAAATAAAGGCAAAACTGCGCTATTAGTGGTATAATGTTAGGTAAACCCTTCTCCGGAACAGAAGGCCAGTCTTACACGCATAGGTCATATGCCTACTTTTTCAAAAAATTGCCTAACTTTTACCAATTTATCATGATTTTGACGTAAAATTATAACTAATCGCGATTTTTCTGCTGTGATTCTGTGACAACAAGCAAAAAAATAGCTGTTTAATCGCCGATTAGCAAACTTTCGTTTTTCGAATA